AATATTCATAATATATTTTCTTTAAAACATGTATAGTACCGGTATATGATTATTGAGCAATTAGTCAAATAATTAATATTTCAAGAATATATCGATTCGCGTTCAGATCCTACGTACGTCACCGGTGGTTATTTATGTAAATAGTATTCATAAGGTGAGAAAAATATTTCGAAGCTAACCAGTTTCAGTCATTTATATAATTCTCCGTGTGCGTCAAAGTAATCGATTTTCACCATAAGTAATTTAAAGGTAAATTTTCACAGAGATTCCAATTTATGCAAAAGTAAGAAGTATCTTAAATATAATTTTATTTTCAAACCGAAGTGTTCGATTTCGATTTTACAAAACTTCACCAAAAAAAAAAAAATTCTGTCTTATCTTCGCAAAATAAAACTTACGATCTTCTGCATTAACTTGCTGGTTCTATTGCAAATAATTTAATATTCATATATTCCATTTTTATATTATTCATAGAAATCTAATGAGGACTAAAAACTAGACTATAAAAGCACTTATTCCTGAGTATGAAGTCAATATGATCTATCTCCTATGCGTACACGCTACAAATTGACAATTTGCGACAAACGTGTCAAATATGTAGTAATCGAGCTAAAATAAATACAAAGACAAAACTAACAATAAAATCATATAAGATTTGTAGTTAATTCGCACCCTATGACCCACTTACCCATCGCCCCCGGTGTTCTCACGATACAAGGCGTCGGACGCGGAACTGCAAACTGTCGCTATAAGCAACACTCATCCGTTATGCGTCATATTATGACGTCATCACACCCACGCACACTTGAGCCGATTTTGTATTTTGGGGACAGATTGGGGCCTAAAATTATAATTATATTCGTAGATGCGTCAAGTAAGCGTGAAAAGTATATTATTTATATGTAATACAACATCATTACAGTGACACGAGAAATTTGGTAAGTTTTCTGGTATAATCTAACAGTATTCACTGTTCATTAATAGTCGATGAGAGATCAAAAATGACACAAAAATAGATGATGTGACAAAACGATTCATTATCGGTAGAATAAAAGCAAAGTCGGTTTCCGGGGTTCTCGATCTTCACGCGATGGTGGTGGGTCAAATCATCCTCGACCAAACAAGATCACAATGTAACGCAAAATGTTACATCCATATACGCTTATGACCAAGCCTGTGTGAGGTAAAATAAATATTTGTTTAAGTTTACTTCCTGGCTTGCCTTATTTGTGAATATTTAACCCATTGTCATAGAAGATGACGTTTCACCTATAGTTTGTGATAGTGTTGGAACAAAGAGGTTAAAAATAATGCAATGTTGATTAAAATGTCTTAGTTGATAGAGTGTAAGATGCGGTACAAATATACAGTATGATGTAATGGTGGCTACTTAAGAATAAAACTCCTTCGGGACGAGTAATTACTAATTACATGGTTGGTGTTTTGACGCTTGCTACCGGATGTAGCATTTTGCCAAATGTTACTTTTTCTTGAATGATACTTTGATGATGTTAGACGACGAATATTGCAAAGGGCTACGACATGTATCCAATCATCTCTTTATCCTAAGTTATTTAGTACTATTTCCAACCCTATCAATCAAGGACAAACCAAATCAGCAAATGAAAAAGAAGTAGTGTGCATGGGGCAATACCAAGATATGCCGTTTTTTCCTAAAAATCAGGCTATAGAAATTGATTCCCTGAAATATTTTTATACTTCAAAAAAAAAAATTCGTTGATCTTAATTTTTAGAATTTTTTTAAACTGCCGGTGTATGTCAATGTCTGCATGAGCGAGGAGGGGGAAAACTGTTGAAAATACCTGTTATTGTTATTACCTTCATTGTATTAAAAGTAAACAACAATTCGACTGTCTCAATAATAAAATATAAAATAAAATTGTATGATACATACAAAAATAGTATTGACATTCAGAGCACTTATTTGAATAGATATCTCAGAGCAGTGGTTCTCAAACATTCATGGTCAGTGGCTCCTCCCGGGAGGGAACAGCTCGGGGTGCCCTCTATGGCCAGACTAAGAAACCATGATCCAGAGGTTGACTTTGCCTTTGCCTTCTCAAATATACGAAGCGCAAGAAAAATTGTTGAATTAATTATGAGTGTCAAAACGAGGTGTCGTATTCATCCCCAATTGCGAATAGACAGTGGTCAAAAAGTCATTGTAATAATAACGATGACTTATACGAGCGTTATAACCGAATTAAATATTAATGTCAAGTCCACCGCATTATCAACCACCCTAGTATAGACATGATGAAGTCATACCAGCAACAAAATCACGAATGATGTCATTACTATTTTTTTTCCCATCTCGGCCTATGGTAACCATTTCCCGTTATATATTTAACCCATATGCTAGGAAATCAGTGACGGTTTTTGTCAAACAGCGTAAAACTACGATTAGGAATAAGTAATGGAAATCCATTATTCAAAATTCAAACTCCGTATTCTGTATTTCTGTTCTGTGACTGATTAGGATTGCGAATGTTACATATTACCGTAATATTTTTTAATACAAAATCATTAATATATTTTAAATTAATGAAAACCTGTCTGTGTACAATGTATACGTGGACATTTGCATCTTAAAGGAGCTAAAAATGAAGGTGTTGCTAAGTCGTCATAAACGTGGTTGATTTACAAGGCTTTTTATCTTTTAAAATATCAGAAAAATTCGGAATTTACAACATCGTATTTTATGATGCTGTAACTGTCAAAAAGACAATAAATTATCTTCGAGTAAGAACGAACTGCGCAACAATGTTTACGACAACGTATTGTCCATTGCGACTTGCGACCGCAACAATATATAACAAGGGATTATTCTGAAATCGTGACTCGATTCATACTGTCGCTCGTTCTTTAGAAAGAAATTCAATACACTATGTAATTGTGTGCTGATAAAATCGAGACTACCCCATGCAAAGTTCATGCGACAGTCTACCCAATCAGACAGGTTCCGCCTCGGCGGAAGCCAACTTCGACGCAAAATTCGTCACAAAAAATCACAAACAGTACTAGAAAATCATGGTATTCTTGTTGTAAAAATATGAAACGTAAAATCGCAAATACAAACACCACCTGTAGAAAAGGAGCGCAATCGCGACGCCGGAGTGGATGTGCAGATGACTACGCGTTTCGAAACTTCACAGAGCTATTTTACACCCAAACTACTAAAAAGAATTAAATGTCTCATATAAATCTTCTAAAAATACTACAAATCTTAAATCGCCATTTCAATTAAAGAGAATTGAAACGAGCAAACGGGCTGCGCTTTGACATGTATGTTGACGGACATGGTAATCCTCCGCGGAATGCGTCCGCAAAAAGTCGACACATAGAGCCAAGCCATATATTTGTTTTTCGTTCAAACACCACATTACGTAGGTAGGATATATAAGAAACAAACGCTAATATTCGATCATACATGGTAAAAGTGAAAACGCGCTGATATTAGATGCATGACATACATGATCGAGTGTCAATTACTTGGCGTTACCATAAGTATTTTCTCCTCATTGGTCATGACCTTGAATAACACTTTGCATATAGCGCGATGCGGCATTGCGGTAATGGGGTTTCTTTGCGCCTTATATCGTTGCATTACTATTTGCTTATACTAAAAAGTTATAATTAAAAATTATATTAAACTCTCAGCTTCCAAGATAGAATATTAAAAAGATACTTTGCATGGTGGTTATATTGCTTTAGATGGGGCTGAAATACTAAGAATATCTTTTTGCATTTGAAGTAAGCATATTTTTAGTGAAACCCAAATGCTTTTAAAATATTCAAAATCTTAATACATTGCGTAAGAGCTTCAAAATAGCAAACTAATAGGATACGGCCGTCTGTCACTGGGGGTCGTTTCGGTCCAATAGTATAAAGTTTCGCGCAAACGACACCCACCATTCCATCATTTTCAAGTCGTCAAAAATATCACAATTCCCACTTAATCGCTATTCAAATGACTTAATAGCCATTACAGTAAGAAACAAATACTATACGACCAAATAGGAAAAACTTGGCACTTTTTGAGATATTTATCGAGATGATCTGACCTGTAGTACGACGTCTAGCTACTAATCGGCCTAACTGAAAGCTACCTAACTCGATTACAGAGCCAATCACCAGACCTTTGGGATTTCTCGATAAAATAACATTCATTCTTAATCGACAAACGATGTCAACTGCGTTCATCTGTCCTACATGGTCGGTATTTTCGGGCCAGGCTCAGACATGACTTTGAAAAATAGAGAGGTAGGTATTGACGCAAGACCTAATATTTTCACAGCACATTGACTTGATGGGGCCAATTTAACTTCCAGATTGATAAAAGGTTTGGATTAAAACACTCCGGCAGGTTAAATCTTTGCAGCTACGAGCTTGGGAGAGACCCTAACCCCTTACCCTTCCAAACCAGTGGTTCCCAACCTTTTTCAAAAAATCCTTCCTTTGCCTATTTTGAAACTTTTCATTCTCGCCTCACTATTCTGTTTACGTTAATTTTTCATTTTTTGAAACCTCTTCAACTAGTTTTAAGCGCACCTCGCACTATAGCTTTTGTATCGTTTAATATAAATTATGTGCGCACAAATATGTATTACAATAATATTAAATAATATTGACAAAACAATACTCTAGTCTATACAAAGTAATATCTATGTATTTTCTCCCCGAAAAAATAAAAAATTTTCTTTCGGAGGAATCGTTCCCGGATTGCGAAACGTGGATCCACGGGTTTAATATTTGGTAAGAAAATAGACGACTATGAAAAGTATTCATGCTACATATATATATACAAACACCTTCAGAAGAGACCCACGGGGTTAAAGGAAGGAAACTTTATCAGCCCTATCCTACACCCAAGATTCAAAAAACGAGTGAAAGCAGTAGTCAATGTTGATGAAACGCCTTTTTTATAATGCAGGTGTGGAAGATGAAATAAATCAAAAAAGAAATGATAGTTCACCAACCTGTCCATCTCTAGGATATCCGTCGTATGGTGATCCCACTGAATGTTTACCTAAAATACATGAAAATAACTGTTAAAAAAATAAACTTAGATAATAAAAATTAATAAATTTAGCCTTCCTTATACGACAAACAGTTGATGCGAGAAAAAGTTGATGTGGAAAACTGGAATTGAAACACTAATATGTCAAAATCACTGCTAATTTGTTTCTGTAAATTCGTCTCGTCTCTGAAAACGGAACTCTCAAAAAAAAATTGTCAAAATAATGTTAATGTCGTATTTTTTTTCGACTAAGTGACTTTCGCGTAGTAATATTCAGCTAACAAGAACAAAATGTCAAATATTCAAAGTCGCGTTATTCACATTCTTACGAGCGCAATTCCACCACAAAGTAGCAGTAAGTCATAAATCATGTCAGTGATGTGCTGCATAGCGGCACCATTTTCAATGCAGCTAATTAAGAATTTTAATTCGAGCTTCCTCAAGGGATGTATGGAAATAATGGTCTTAATTTACGATCACCCGACAACTTTCAACAGCTATTAAACGGTTTCCAAGAACCCATTACGTCAATGAAAACCACAAAATATCAAGAGGGTCAAACTGGATAAGTTAATGTGGGGCCAGGGGCTCACAGATCAAGAATAGCTTGAATGTTATTAAGTTATTCAAGAGGTATTTCTCGGGCCGTCTATATTGCTGTCATGATCATGATATAGGGGTATAAAGGAAGTATTTTGAATCAAAAGTCTATCATAGCAAAATATGTGAAAATATCCAAAACCAGTATACAGACAATGCGATTCTGTTGTGTGATACGAGAAAGCTATTTTCATACATATAGCTTTATAATTTATTCCGTGCTTCGTAAATTCTGTATTCGTACCATGATTGCGACAAAAAAAAATGATTTGCGAATATTTTTTTTTTGATCAGTGAAGATTGAGCATATGTTGGTAGTTACAAGTTACAAGGGGAACGCGCGATACAGCATTGAAATCAATGCTATACTCGGGCATTCATCCGCATATATCCGTTTTTTTCTGCTCCTTATCTAGTTGTATATACCTAGTTGAGTGTTCGAATTTGAACTTCTCGACGAAAAATAAAATTATAACGGTGACAAGCAGCGCGAGTCACTATTAAATCCGACTATATCATCGATTTTTGGTATTAGTATGTCAAACCGTTGCATTCCAAAAATCCCAAAGAGACCTGAAAAATGATCCCCATATGAAGAGCATTTAATTCCTCGCGTCAACAAACAGTCGAGCCCCGCCCTACATTTGCAACATCACGGGATTCTCTATACACAACAAACGTGATATGTGTCGTGTGTCGGTAATACCAGGGTTTAGCAATCTCCGTTACGCTTGCGTCATTTTTTAGTTTAGTTATAGAAGTTTGCGACTATTTCGGATCAAGCTGGTTGACCTTCAGAGGAAGAATGGGATCAAGCATATGACGAGGTAGGTTCTTAAAACAAATACAATACTGCAATCTTGGGATTATTGGCTTCTAAATACCTAAGCCCCGCTCATTCTATATTCCATATACATAAGGTTTAATAGAAGAGTGTCGAAAGATGACAACTAGTCGCCTATAGTGGCCAATATTAATTAGTTTTTAGCAATTATGCCCAACGGTGAAGAAACGATAACGATCACCAATGCGGATGAATATAATAATATGACAACGGATTACCGAGAGCCGAGCGATGACATTGCTTCATCTATACTTCAAGCCAATCAACTTCACTTTGTTCTTAATATAATAACGACGCCATTGATACCGTTAGAAACTGATTTGTAAACGGTCCGGCTCCTCCAACCATAATTGTGCCAAATTGTTAGGGGAGTTTAATCAACATGAGAGCAATGCTCGAATATATATATACGAAGGCCGAAACGAAGTAGCATCAAATCTTTCACAGTACCGGTAGTCACTTAGATTTGATCACGGTACCAGTTTTTTTATTTGGATGACGCCATCATAAACCACACCCAAAAATAATAACGCAGTTGCAAAGAATTTCTGTTGCGGCGAAGGAACGTAAAGTCGAACTTAACCGCACATTCAATTTTCAGGTTTAAGTTTAATCCCGTGGGATAAAATGGAATTTCAAAAACGAGCTTTTTTCAATTCTCCCGGTGACGTCACGAAGTATTTTAGTCATGGTAGTTTGAGCATGGTATTTCTATAAATCAAGTCTAACGCGGCACGCGGTATTCAACGTCTATGAATGATCTTAAAATCGAAGACAAAAGGTCATGGGCCAAAATTCTTGGCATTTAACGGCGAGCTAACTTCGCCACTGCAAACCACTATACACGTACTCCCTCCCCCTGGGCGAGAATTCTAAGAATTCCTGGCGTTAAATATAATGCTGCCCAGTGCTAGAATTACATATAATTGGTCGAACGAAGCTAAGAAGTCGAAATAAATCGAAAAGGTGCCGATAGTAAATAAAATAAATCTTGGACTCAAACTGGTAGCTGTTCTTTTTTTTAAATTAAATAACAAAAATAGTGGTATGAATTATACATTAGCTGTGATTGAAAATATGCCTGCATGGGAAAGTTGTGAGTGGTGTAGATCAGTGTTTCCCATCTTATGGGTCACATGAAAATCATCTCGGGTAGCTTGATTCTTCAACAAAAACTTAAAGTTGCCGATTTCCTTTTCTAGTAGATTTTCATTGTTTATTTTATATTTCGTATTGCAGTATTGGGGCGTCCTGAAGTATGCGCACCAAGATGGCGCACAACCTGAACTCAGTTTGTGTACCAGTTAGGGTTCAGGTTATGCGACATCTTGGTGCGCATACTTCAGGAGTACCCAGTATTGTTCATTAGCAATTGTATGTGTTAAGTATCACGGCATAAAAACTTGGCGGCGAATGAACCTACGCCACGAATTCAAAAACTCGCTGATAGCAAAAAACGCAGTTTCTGACTTTGAGGTCGTTTCTAGGAAATAAATGCCATTGTATTATATAAGTCATTTAATTTTGCGGCCATAACAGCACTACATGCCGTTTAGTATGCGAGCATATCCTTGGATGTATGTAGTATTTATGCTTATTTGGAATTTTAATATATATTATAAATAATGACATTATCTATGAATTTGGCATAAATCGTAATTTTCTTTCTCACATAGCTGATAACCCATATTAAAAAATGAATGGGTTAATTAGGCAACAACCATTTAAAGATATTTTGAATATTATCAATTCCCACTTCAGTCTAAATTCGCATTCGACACTCTTCCATAAAATAGAACTGACAAAAAAGTGATTGTTTTAGTATTCCATCAAATCAGTAGATTGTTCACTAAACAATTAATTGATAATGGAATAAATGCAGCTGAGAATACGCAAAGGTTCGTTTTGCTTGGAAAAATGAACCCAATCGAATAGTACAGAAGGAAGGCCTATTTCTAAACCATGGGTGTCATTCTGACCGATAGTAAAAACATAATTCAGGAGAACGAAAATTTACTTTGTTATACATATCTCGATGGAGTACGATAAGACGTTAAACGCCGACCATTATTTACATATTTACAAACGACGAGGAAAAATTTCTCCGCATGGCAGGTGCCTAGCGAAGATCGTCTACGCACGTTAGAATTTAACCCTTTATATTCGACCTACGCCAGGAATTCACAGAAAACAAATCCCGATGTATCACAAAGATAACAATAATATAGTGAGTACGCGAACGGGTTAAAATACTCGAGAGGTTACTGGATTTAGAGAAAACAATGGTTGGTCTATATTGAAGTTACGAACCAATAAGATGGTGAATATATGGTCCTTTATGACCATCTTCTAAAGCATCACGTTTGATAATTTCGTAGAAGGCTGACTACCCAGTTATAATTGACAAAAACTCTGGCTCGATTCACAGGTGGACCACACATAAACTTCAACATATACAAACCAACTTTGCTTATATGCTAATATCCAATTTTTTGATACAATATAAGTCAGTAATTCGTACTGCCCAGTTGTAGTTGTTTTTGAGAAAACAAATAAATGAAAATTTGAGGTGCAGAAACGAGTAGAAAATAACTGATATTTATTATATTTAGCATTATAATCCGGTAAGTGGTTATACGAGGAAAGATCGGTGATGTGTTCAGATTCAGTACGGCCATTTACACAGATAGATTATGAAGAAGTTATCGAGAAGCAAGTTCGATAAAAAGAATCGTTCTGAGCCAATTTAGTGAGATGTCAAATAGGCACCTATACAACAGATTTTCCTTTACAAATAGCGTGCTCTTTTATCATCATTCCATATTCTTCCATCGTGCGTAAAGCGGGATGTTGTGCGTCATTATATTTGCAAAAAATGACGTTCGTCTTACAAATTTGAAAAAAGAAAAATGGCTGACGAAAAGGTCAAACTGAATTTCGGAAAAAAAAACGAATGAATAAACACAGGAAAAAAAACGACTTTATTGCAAAGCATTGTTACCGTGTGGGACGAGATACTTGAAAGGATATATAAACAAGATAATAGTAATGACATAACGATAACCATCTCCGTTCCCCAAAAACATGACGAACGGTTTTTGGTGTTATATAGGAATCTTAGTGTAACACCAGCAACCACGTGTGGGTATTATGTAAAAACAACTGAAGGATACAATTATCTGTCTTCCATGTTTGTTTAAACAAAAATAGGAATTACTAGACCACCTGTGCAGAAAGGTATGAAGCGAGTTCCTTCATGTTATTACATTGTAAAGTAATTTTGTTTCGTTTCTATATGATTTCGTTTCAAATCAAAAAGAGTTGGAATCGACGAAAAAGAAACTGAGTCATATTTGTAGTGCAGGCGAATAGCGCATTAAAAAGCTCATGTATTTTATGTTCAATTAAAACAATCGTGATAAATGTTCAAATCCATTAAATTTTCCCAAATAATTTTCTCCGGGGAAAATTTTTTAAATCAGGATTTGCGTCCTTTTTACGAACCATATTTTAGGTAAGTGTAACAATATACAGGATGAACCCAAAAAATAGAACCCAGGTCATT